CTGGTCGGCAGCAGGCTCAGTACGAGTCAGCCGTGTGCTGGGGCAGCCAAGAGGGCAACCCGCAGCCTGGGGGGCATCACACACAGCATGACCAGCCGCTCAAAAGAGGGGATTTTCCCGCTGTATTCAGCCTTGGTGCGGCCTCACCCCGAGTACTGTGTGCGGTTCTGGGCCCCACAATTTAAGAAGGACATGAAGGTCCTTGAATGTGTCCAGAGGAGGGCAACAAAGCTGGTGAAAGAGCTGGAAGGAATGTCCTGTGAGGAGCAGCTGAGAACTTTGGGGTTGTCTAGTTTGGAGGAGGGGAGGCTGATGGGCAACCTCATTGCTCTGTACAGCCTCCTGAGGAGGGGACTTGGAGAGGGAGGTGCTGAGCTCTTCTCCCTGGGATCCAGTAACAGGACACGTGGGAATGGTTCAAAGCTGCACCGGGGAGGTTTAGACTGGTCGTTAGGAAGCATTTCTTTACTGAGAGGGTGATCAAACACTGGAAGAGGTTTCCTAGAGAGGTGGTCGATGCCCCAAGCCTGTCAGTGCTTAAGATGCATTTGGATAATGCCTTTAGAACATGCTTTAACTTTTGGTCAGCCCTGATCTGGTCAGGCAGTTGGACTAGATGATCATTGTAGGTCCCTTCCAACTGAAATAGTCTGTTCTGTTCTGTTCTGTTCTATGAGGAGCAGCTGAGGGAACTGGGGTTGTTTAGCCTGGAGAAAAAAAGGCTGAGGGGAGACCTTGTCGCTCCCTACAACTACCTGAAAGGAGACTGCAGCGAGGTGGGTGTCAAGTCTCTTCTCCCATGTAACAAGTGATAGGACAAGATGAAATGGCCTCAGGTTGTGCCAGGGGAGGTTTAGATTGGACATTAGGAAAAATTTCTTCACTGAATGGGTTACCAAGCATTGGAACAGGCTGCTCAGGGAAAAGTCACCATCCCTGGAGGTATTTAAAAGACATGTAGATGTGGCATTTAGGAACATGGTTTAGTGGCAGACTTGGCAGTGTTAGGTTTATGGTTGGACTTGATGATCTTAAAAGTCTTTTCCAATATAAATGATCCTATGATTCTATGATTCTATTCTATTCTATTCCTCTGACTTCCAAAGAAAAACCCACCAAGTTTTCAAGACTCAGTTTCAAGCTTAATATATTAAAGATAGATTAAAAGATTAAAAGAATCAATTTCAGGACCAAATACCTACTGGATTAATATTCACTGTTTTTATCAATATATATAAACAACATACGATGTTGTCACATAAAAATACATTAGTTTGTGTCTACAATAGTGCTCAAGCATTATTTTAATTCTAACCAACAGTACCAAAACTTTTCTCCTGGATAAATTGTAGAAGAATGTCTAAACCTTATTATAAACTTCAATGCCAAAGTGTATTTTTTCAAGGACTATAAGCAATTAAAACACACCAGATATCTACTGTAATTAGAGGGGAAAAAAAAATATTTATTCCATTAAATTTCTAATGAAAATTCTTATTCTTCTCAGGCCATAAGAATTAAAAAAAAAAAAGAAAACCAAATACCCGCCATAAAGTAGTAGTGAGAATAATGAACACAGTAAAAAAGAGCTGAACATAAGAAAAAAAAAAGACAAAACTGTAAAATAATATGAAGGGCATAAGCTTAAACAAAACAACAGAACTATGGATGAAGTTAGACAAAAGAAATTTGGTTTCAAATCTATTTCCAAAGAAGTTCACAACAAACTTCACTGACTACACTGCCAATTCTACCTCAGTAATCATATTCACAGTGGAAGCCAACCAGCCAATTGACAGGATCCCAAGAAAGCCCTCAATCTGCTTCAACTCTGTACAAGCAGACAAGTTGGAGTGCATGATGCAGGAGTGCACTGAATAAATAACTACTTGAACCAAAAATGGCAATTTATTTAATGATACTATAATTGTCCTAATTATAACACAGAACTTTAACATATTGAAATTACCCACCTCATGTCAAAACAGGGCAAGCATTCAAGAGCTCTCTTGTGTTTTATCTTGTAAAATAGCCTCTGGAGAGGTCTTATTCAATTAAATTACATATAAAATCATTGGTGCATATTTTGCTGCTCACAGCCATGCTTTGTGACATGATCCATTAAAATAACAAAAATGAATAGCCATTTGGGATGTAGGTAGTGATCTACAACTGTTCCTGTGAGAGCTAAAATGATTTTAGTTCATTAGATTTGCACCTCTCTGAAAAATTAGTAGTTCTCAAAGGTATTCATCTTCAAACTAACAGTTGTTGTCTACACTTATATTAGAGGGCAATGGTATAATAGCTGGAATTAACTTTAGAGGTACTTCACTGACCAAACAAACTTGAACAATATCTTATCAACAACTATCTTCAACTACAGAAGTATTCTTAAATATAAAGACCACAGACTTCCATGAGGAAAAAAATAATTTTCATTGTATGCTACTAATAAGATATTTTTCCCAGTTATTCTACATACAAAATTGTGGACACAAAATTTCCATGGAATTTTATGCCAGACTTATCTTAGTCTCAGAGAATAATGGACAGAGACTTTAGAACAGCTTTTTGTCAGTTCAGGTCTAGGCAAAATGAAGCCAAAACAGACATCAAAGGTGCAATGAGGAGAAAACACATGCAAAAGCCCTGTATTGGATGCTTTATGATGTTTTTTTCTTCTCCAGAGGCCCATCTCCCATCCGGACTTCTACTTTTACAGGCTACTGTCTGCCCTTGGAATGAAAAAAATTCTTCTAAAATAGAATTGGGATAGGTTATGTTACAATTAAGAAGATGGACTACACTGTACCCCTTCTATCTTTAAATTTTTCTATGAAAGAGTAAAATAATAGAAAAGTTACTAAATTAACTACATCATCTTTTATTGCTGTATCAGGTACTGTCTGATACATTGATGCAACCAAATTCCAAATAAAATTTCTCCACTGTGTATCAGATGCAAATACTTGCACAAAAGGTGCTTCTGTGCTTCATAGTAGCTGGATGTTTGCTGTCATCTGCACTTTACCATAAATCACCTCAAAAAGCTGTCACTAAACACCACAACCACAAAATAAGGGTGGACACTGGGAAAATCCCTTAGAAAAAATGTCATCTGAGATATTTAGCAGAATCACACTCATATAAACCTCCTCCAGTGAGGTGCTGAGCAGCAGTGAAAGGAATCTGCATTTTTAGAAGGTTAACTCAATCCCCTGCATTGCTTTGAAAGTTTCAGTTAGGTAATGCAATTGTTTTGACTTTGCATTGCAAAACACAGAAAACCAAAGCTTGCCTGAAAGGAGAACATTCTGCTAATGTTCAGCTCTGCTAACAACTTGACCAAGTTTATATTTATTTCTTTTTCTAAATATGGCAAAGCTGCTTTCTTAAGGAAAATGTACTACCTTCCTAAGAAAGAATGAAAACATAAGATAACATGACTGTAAAGTATATGTTAAGTAATTTAAAACTCAAACTGTTGTTGCATTTTGTATTATAATATTAATTTGTAGCATTCTTACACTGATTTCAAGAGACTAATACAATCTTAACATAAACCTTAAATTCATAATATCTTATATATACCTTACGTGGATTCTGTGAACTTGGGAGTGACCCAGAGAAATGTTCCTATAACCTCTGCCCTGCTTTAAAAGCTAGACAACTTTTCTTGTATGATTCCTTCTTTGTGAGGCAGACACAAACCGCTGGAAAACCTTTCAGATTACATACCACAGTAGCCTTCATAACTGAATAAAAAAAGAGAATTACATCAGGATCACTATGGTACAAGACCCATGCTTTCCTTAAAAGGCAATTCAGTTATGATGGAACACATTCTCTGCACCTTTGTTTGGGTTTCTTTAAGAATGATGAGATTTCATTGCAGAAGTGCAACCCTTAGCAGTGTGGCACAGCTAATAGGACAAGTTCCATTCTTTTCTTATACTGATGTTGTTATACCCTGTTTTTAATACTGACAAAAACGATCGACTTTGTTTTATTTTCCTGTGATGGAACAGTCAATAACAAATTGGTCCATTTCCAATCCCATTCATTTCAATGGAAGCTAGATCAGTGAACCAGTAATCTCAGACTTTAAATGTAGAGAAGAAATTGTCATGTGTTAAAATCAAGGGTTAGCACCAGCATTTACATAGATTACATTATTAAAACAATACAGAACAATGTTACTTGGATTTAATCCCATTTGCAGTACAACTTGCACAGAATAAAGAATAAATATTGAAGTTAAAAAGCCTAAGTTATTGTAGAAACACATTTTCAGGAAGGTTAGACAAAAACACTACTTTCAGCATTTTCAAATTTGCAATGGATGCATCTTCCGTGACATTTACGAACAGTCAGCAGCAGGGTGTGTAATTCCCCTTTGACCCACCAAAGCTCTCAAATCATTGTTGCTTCTATCCAGACACCATAGAAAGACTCTTGCCCAGGAGAATCACTTGACAATTAGCTCACCTACCCTCTAGGCTTTCAGGGTTGAAGTGCTAGGAGAGGACAGGGCATCAGTAGAGCCACTGGGGTTTATATCAAGATTTTTTTTCAAAGAAATTCAGCGTCAGTCTAAAATTTAAATACCCAAACTGAATGAAATGTTGAATGTTGACATACCTTGCTGCTGTTGGAGGAAGATTTTAAAGTGATTGACAGTTTTACTCTCTTATTACCAAAAATACTGAAAGAACACAAATGATATACTAGATTTTAGCCTGTGTAAAGTTTGTTGGTAACCACAGAATTATGTTGGTTTAACTTGATACATATCCTCAAACATGATTCCTTTGTCCTGAAAGAGTAAATCACTCTGGTTTAATTTTGTATATTTTATTATAGGGTGAGGTTTCCAAATAAAATATAAACATATGCTTCTGAAAACAGGCTAAGATGAAAAGCACTTAATCTACAGACAAGAGATTGAAAGTAACTAGGTAACTTAAATGAGAGGGGGGGGAAAAAAAAGGACATACCTTTGAACACTGTTTATGATTCTGGCACCAAGCAAGTGACCCATTGTTCTGAAAGACAAAGAAAAAGTACATGAATATTGATATTTCTTTAGGACTAGACATGATCAACCTAATGGGTTTAAACAGAATACACCACCCAGTTCTGCTTAGAGAATGATGTTGTGTCACAACACCAGTACCAATCCTGACTCCAACTCCCTTGTGTTGAGTAAAAGGGTCAGGCAAGTGTAAAGTGACCAGAGAAAAGTTAGGAAAGCATTTCATCAGGCAAGGCTGGTAGAAAACTGACTGAAGTCACCTTTTAGTCCATCTTTGTAAACACTTACTATCTAGCTTGCTAGGAAGCAAACAAAAGGTTACACTTTTATTTAAGAAACTGATACGGATTGGTAGTGATTCATGAACAGAAAACCCATTAGTCACATTTCAATATCGCACAGTACTTAAAATAAATTATCAAGGAAAGATAATGAACACACTTGAAGTAAATGGAAAATTTAATTAAATGACCAAAAGTCAACCATGCCAGTTTTGATACATTTTTGATAATAAAGCACATTTCCCAAGATCAGGAAACACTATAGCTATCATTTGTCTTGACTGCAGTAAAACAACCAATACAGTATCACATGCAAAATAATAATTTAAGCTAAAGGAAAAGAGAATCTGATGAGAATAGAAAGATAAATATGAAACAGGGACAAACAGCAACCTACTGTTCTGCTAGGTGAGCTTCTGAAGGGTCAATTTTGGAAATAATATCTTCTGGTAAAAAAAACAGCTCAGGAAAGAAAAATGCATGTTTGTGGGGTTAAGAGATGAGACAAAATTGATTGATTGATTCACTTTCTATATAGTGGGAGATTGAACCAACATCAGGAAGACCTGAGTGACTGTGGACTGAACATGAGAAATGGGGTACAAACTCTGCAACACAGAGTATATGTTAATGTACTTAGGAACTTATACATATATATTTCTTCTCTAATTTATAAGGTCATACTCTGGAAACAGAACAGATGAAGATTCCAGTAAATTTGTGGTTCAGAATCTGACTACAATGGTGAGTCTATGAGGGAGTAATGCGACATACTTTCATATGAATTAGGCAATTTCCTCAGGGATGAATTAATGTGATTGTACTATACTCTCACCTTTGGCACTGACTAGACCTAGAAATCAGTCTCCAAGGAAGAGAAATTCAGGTAGGCCAGAATGCAAAGGACTAGCAGGACTATACTTTTTTTCTCTTTTTTTTTTTTTTGTTTGTTTGTTTGTTTGAATAAGGGGAGATGCATATAATGGAATAATATATATACATGTGCTGGTTTTGGCTGGAATAGAGTTAATTTTCTTCACAGTAGCTACTATGGGGCTATGTTTTGGATCTGTGATCCAAACAGTGCTGATAACCCAGGGATGTTTTCATTCCTGCTGAGCAGTGCTCACCCAGAGCCAAGGGCTTTTCTGCTTCTCCCCCCACCCCACCAGCGAGCAGGCTGGGGGGCACAAGGAGTTGGGAGGGGACACAGCTGGGACAGCTGACCCCGACTGACCACAGGGATAGTCCAGACCATAGGACGTCATGATCAGCAGATAAAAGTCAGGGAAGAAGAAGGAAGAGCGGGATGTTGGGAGTGATGGCATTTGTCTTCCCAAGTCACCATTACGTGTGATGGAGCCCTGCTGTCCTGGAGATGGCTGAACACCTTCCTGCCCATGGGAAGTGGGGAATGAATTCCTTGGTTTGCTTTGCTTGTGCGCACAGCTTTTGCTTTACATATTAAACTGTCTTTATCTCAACCCATGAGTTTTCTCACTTTTACTCCTCCAATTCTCTCCCCCATCCCACCATGGAGGCGAGTGAGTGGCTGGGGTTAAACCATGACAATACATAACTTTTTGTATAAAAATCACACAGATAAAGCCAAATCATTCTCTGGATGTACAACAACTACAAATCAGAAGCAGAAAGAGATACATTAGCATGCATTGTAACCAAGCCAACTACACCAGTTTCTCAAAACAGCAGTACTCTGTTTTGATCTCAGCAAAGCTTATAAGCTTGAATAAAATGACTTGCTACCACAACTATGAAGTCTATCCTTTGAAGCTGGATCTCTCTTAGTGAATGTTTGAGGAGATCATGTTTGTGCATGTCTTCATACGAGTATGTAGTCACGCCTTCACACAAGCTCCCAAGATGTAGCCAACAGGTCAAGGGAAGGGATCGTCCCTCTCTACTCAGCTCCCGTGAGATCCCACCCGCAGTACCGCATCCAGCTCTCAGGTCCCCAGCACAGGAAAGACATGGACCTGTTGGAGCAGGTCCAGAGGAGGGCCACAAAGATGATCAGAGGGCTGGAACACCTCTCCTCTGAAGAAAGGCTGAGGGAGTTGGCGTTGTTCAGCCTTGAGAAGAGAAGGCTCTGGGGAGACCATATTGCGACCTTTCAATATATAAAGTGGGCTTTTAGAAAAGACGGAGAGAGACTTTTTTACCAAGGTCTGTAGTGACAGAACAAGGGGCAAAAGTTTTAAACCAGAAGAGCGTAGATATAGATTGGACATAAGGAAGAAATTCTCTACAATAAGGGTGCTGAGACACTGGAACAGCTTGTCCATATAAGTGGTAGACACCCCATCACTCGAAGTGTTCAAAATCAGGTTGGACAAGGGCTTTAAGCAACCTGATCTCATGAAAGATGTGCCCTCCCAGGGCAGGGGGGGCGGACTAGATGACCTTTAAAGGTCCCTTTCCAACCCAAACCATTCTGTGATTCTGTGACTATGAAGATTGTTCGACTCACACACTCAGAGAATGATTGAGGTTGGAAGGGACCTCTGGAGGTCACCTAGTTGAACACCCCTGCTCAAGCATGGAGATCTACAGCCAGTTGCCCAGGACCAAGCCCAGACAGCTTCTGAGTATCTCCAGGGTGGAAGACTCCACAACCTCCCTAGGCAACCTCTGCCAGTGCTCAGTCACCCTCATGGGAAAAAAAATTGTTTCCTGATGCTCAAGAGGGAGTCTCCTGAGTTTCAATTTGTGCCCATTGCCTCTGGTCCTGGGCACCACTGAAAAGAGCCTGGCTCCATCTTCTTCGCATCCTCCCATCAGGTATTTATACACGTTAATGAGATCTCCCCCCTCAGCCTTCTCTTCTGTAGGCTAAATGATCTCAGTGCTCTCAGCCTTTCTTCATAGGAGAGATGCTCCAGTCCCTCCAGCATCTTCATGGCCCTTCACTGGACTCTCTCCGGTATGTCCTCATCTCTCTTGTACTGAGGAGCCCCAGAACTGGACACAGCACTCCAGCTGTGGCCTCACCAGTGCTGATGAGAGGGAAAGGATCACCTCGATCTGCTGGCAATACTATGCCTAATGCAGACCAGGATACCATTAGTCTTCTTTTCTGCAGGGGCACGTTGATGGCTCATGTTCAACTCAGTGTCCACCAAGACCCCCAGGACCCTTTCTGCAGAGCTGCTTTCCAGATGGGTGGCCCCCAGCATATAAATTCAGACCACCTGGCATTTTTGCCTGACGTCTTATTCATTGGGAGGGACTGCTCTTGAGCTTGGAGGAGGTGATCCTTGAATATTAACCAGCTTTCTTGGGCCCCCTCTTCCTCCAGAGCCTTATCTCATGGGACTCTCGTCCAAGCAGATCTTTGAAGAAGCCAAAGTCTGCTCTCCTGAAATTGTTCCAAAAATCTTTGCAGCTGTCACAGGATTTTGGCCCCAACACAAAAATGTAGCAAAAAGAACCAAAATTCTTTTTTTTCAAGATGCTGTACACCAAAAGGACCAGAAAGCACAGCAAGTAAAAGGACAGAAACAGACTGGATTCTGACTCACATGTTGCCATCAGATAGTTTGTGGAAACTAAAGCCTTCATACAGCAAAGAACATAAATCTGCTTTTAACCAAAACACAAGTTATTCTAACAGTATCAACAGCTAAGCACACTCTTCTATGCACTGACAGACCAACTAAATTAAAAAAAAAACAAACAGATCTACTCCAAGATCAGTAGGAGAAACAAATTTTTGGTTAGATCAGTCATCTGAGGGCATATCCTTTCTGTACTTAGAGATGAGCACAGCTCACTAAGATGGCTCCATAAAAATACCAATGGCAAGTCACTTCCAAGGACAATTCAGAATCACCTTCCAACTTTTTCTTAAGCTTCTGTTAGCAGGAAAGACAAAAAGGTGGAGGATAATTAGTCTACAAACTTGGGCATTTCAGCCACGCAGGATAAATCACTGCCTTCTTCATTTTGAGCATTAAGCATAATTTGAATCTGATACAAAAGTAACAGAGATCTGTGAAAGTAACACAGATTTGGACCAGACACATCAGGAAGTTCAGGAACTGAAACTAAAGCATTGAATTTGAATGTTACTCTTGTACCTTAAGAACCAAACTAATGCAAATTATACTTATGCTTTCACCTCAACTTTTAGTCTGAACATGATATATATACTTTAGTCTGAACTTTATATATGCCATTTTTTTCATATGAGCTGTAATGCTAAAAATTTCTATTCCTGTATTACCTAAGGAGCTCTGGGAATGGTAAATGCAAAGACATATCCAGTCCTTTCCACTTGTAAGCCTATTTAGGAGCAATTTAAAAATTTTAGTTCGTACACTTTAATTTCAATGTTTAACGAAAAATTATTTTGTCTTATCTTCCCAGCAGATTACAATGTGATCATTATTGGATTTTATAATACCATTTTTATCTGCCGTTACTGTAGAATTTAGCTAAAACTGACATTTGCTAGCATAAGAATAGCTAACTATGAGCACCATGTCAGGTCCAACCCCTTCAAAAAGAGAGACACATAAATAGAAGATATAAAACTTTAGAACAGCCGTAAATAACATATGCTAGTGGGAATACTTTAGTATTACCCTCAATGCTGTATGAGGATTTATTATTTCTATTTACAGGTCTAGCTAGCAGTAATGTTAAAACGATATTTTATGTGCTACTTTCAATTTATCCACCCTTTCTTCTTAATATAAAATGTGAC